GGTGGCGGGGGTTCCCTTCCCCCACATGCTGCAGGCAAACCCATTGGGGCTCTTTCTTGCCTGCTTCCTTTCCAGGGCTCTGCCCGTCTGTGGCACCCCACTGATGCCCTGTGGCGGGAAACCGCATGCCCTGCTTGGGTCCCAAGAGAACTTTTTGGGAATACCAGAATCAGAGGCGGCGGCTGCTACCCACCAAAGGCCTTGAAGGTCTGCCTGCCCGTGTGCTTGGAGGCTTCTGGGACTATTCCTAAGCCCACCCACCTGGTTTGCAGCTCTTCCCCTGAATTGAAAAAACACCAGTGTGGGTTCCCGTTTTTTGGAGCTCAGCTAAGACGCACCTTTGCCTTCAACTCAGTTAGTCTCATTTGTGGTCCAGGGCTTCTTCCTGGGAAGCTCCTGGTGGATCCCTGACACCCACTTGATTTGCGGATTTGGAGGCAAGAAGTTTTCATTTCGGAAGAGGTGCTCCATGGATTGACTGAGAAACGGATCTTTTTAATTGTTGCTCTTTATTTTCTGACCACGTTCATCAATTTGTCTTTTCTGTTTTAATTTTTGTTCAATTACAGGCAAGAAATGTGATACAGCATGTAAATCCTGGAGAACTCGAGTCCTCAGTCTCCTTGGTATGGTACACATGAGCCATGGTGGTGCAGTGGAATATTGCAGGCTACTTCCGCTGACTGAATCTCACCAGGCTCAAGGTTGACTCAGCCTTCCATCCTTCGGAGGTGGGTAAAATGAGGAGCCGGATTGCTGACTCTGTAAACCGCTTAGAGAGGGCTGTAAAGCCCTGTGAAGCGGTATAGAACTCTTAAGTGCTATTGCTATTGCATATATGTCCTCAGTTGATGACTTCTTGTTACAATGCTGATTTGTTATTAAAGGGTTATAGGATTTGTCTACAATGAAGACAGGAGAATCGGGGATGATCCAGTGCCTCCTTATCCCTCCCTCTCTACAGTAAAGGACAGGCTCAGCTTATGAGAGTAACAGAGTTTTGACAACTCTCCTGTCATGTTTTTCACACCATGAAAAATGATGCCAGTTTCTCCCTTGGAGTTCTTTTGCCTCTCGGTCCGTTAGAGCCTCCATTAAGGCAAACTGCAGAGCTCGCCCCTCCCATCATCTGGGGGTGACAGATTGGGGGTTCAGCCATCTTTGGAAAAATTAAAAAGTCACTTGGACCTTGCACACAAGCATGGGGGGCATTTGGCAGACGGCTTTATGACAACCAAGCGGTCCACAAGAGAGAAAGATCCATCGCCCGAGTGAAGGGAAGGAGGGAGCTTTTGGGTGGAGAAGCAGGGGAGGGTTTTCTGTACTTCCCACCAATGGCTGAACAGGGTTCTAAAAGGAGGTTGCAGATGGAGATGCAGCAGAATTCTGGGAGCTGAAATCCACAAGGCTTCCAATTGCCACAGCTACAGACCCCTGCCCTACCCACTACCCTACACCTGATCCACTTCACTCATGACGGGGAAGGGAAGAGCAGTTAGCTGAAGGTCCTGCTGATGAGATTCCCAAAGCAGACCAGCCGTGGTTAGAAACCATGGCAGCCTGGTATCTTCCACCACCGCCAGCCCTTATTCCGATCCTGCTAGCAGCCTGCCCTACATTTGAGTAGCCTTCGACCCTTCTGCTGCTTGTTACACTACATGTATTGCTTCAAAAAGAAAAAAAAAGGCATCACAATTCTGACATTTGGAAAAGGGGGAAAAACATTTTATATATAAGTATCAGTTTCACAGCCTTAAAGTTGGAGGGAATGTTTGCATTTATAGAAAAATAATAATAATAAACCAGAAGATTTAAGTTTTAAACTGCGTGTAACTGTCAGCTGTTCAACTCTGGATGGAAGGAACTCCCCCTCCTCCTACAAAGCTTAAGGGAATCAAACCAGGGATGTAGCTGAGGTGGGCAAATGAAAGCAGGGACCCCACCTGCAAAGCTGGCCTGTTCCTGCCCTTGACACAAAAGAATAAATAACAAAGATAAACGTTACACCTAAAAGGAGAGGAAGCGAAACCTTCCCAGAGCCATCAAAACACTACACAAGGAGCAGCACAGATCCCTACATCCTAGCAGGAAGCAGAAGCAGACCCCACCTCCAGGTTCCCACCTTCCCATTATGTGGCCTTAAAACTAGGGAGGGGAAAGGAGGCGGCAAAAGTGCCCAACCTCTTCTTCTGGCAAGGCAGGAACTGCTAATAGGGACTGCCAGGTCAACCCTGCAAAACTCTACCCTTAGTTTCGCTACCTTCCTCAGTGAACCAGGGAGGACCAACAAACTCTTCCAAACCCACCTGGGCTTGCCACCACCTGGACCCAGGCTCAAAACCAGACCCCTGAGGGTCCCTGCAAATGTGGATCAACACGCAGGGAGAAAGAAATACCCACGAGAAGAGGGAGGGCGGGAGGGAGCCAGACTCCATTGGAGGGTTAAGAGAAACTGTTGTGATCCTTCTCAGAGCTGAGGGACCACGCGCAGCACTGGCCACAGGATTGAAGGACTGGGGGCAATTCCATAACCTGGTGGTTCCCCCCCCCCCCCCCACTTCTTGTGACAAAATTCAGGGCTTTGCTCTTTGGAAGTCAGTGGGACTTTTGTCTGGTCAAAGGCTCTAGAGATACGGACATCTTGCCATAGTTGAAAGCAGGCGAGAATCCAAGCTCACCCAAATGGGGCTGTCACTATCCCCACACCAGCAGAGCGGCAGGGTTCTTCTGCCGACGCTGTGGCTTCCTTGCTGTGGACCCAGCCCAGAGTAAACCACCCAGGAAGAGAGCTCAGAAAAACTGCCCAGAGGAAGCAGCTCTCTCTCCATCAATACCCTGCCACAAAAACCCAAGAACCCGTCCAACCTGCCCACTGGCCTGGCCTGGCCCCAGGAAAAGAGGCACTGGCCAAGCCTAAGATGGGCCCGGAAAGCGGAACAAGGCATGGAAATGCCACCTTGCACAAGCAAACCTGGAGGGGAGAGCCCCTTGCCCGGGACCACACCAGCGCTCCCACCTGCCTGCAACCCCGCTCCCCCGACTTCTCCAAGCAGGTTGAGGTTCAGTGCAACGTGAAACAGGTCAAGGTCTTATGGAGGGAAGAAAGAAAGGAGAGCATCTTGGGAGGGACAGACACTCCTTCCCAATCAGAGGGATTGGCTGCTATTCAGCTGGAGGCAGCTCAGGAGCGCAGAAGGGGCCAAGAAGGCCCCACACCCTCTAGGGGCACTCCCCACCCTTGGGGGAGCAGCAGTGTGCCAGGGGACGGGTGCAGGGCCTGGCCACGGCCACTTGTGCAAACCTTCCGCTAGGGAATCTGAGAGCCCAACGCACAACCCTTCTCCTTAGGACAGGAGGCGAGGCAAGGGGCAGGAAGCGGCAGTGGCCGTGGCAGCAACAGCAGGGGGTGCAGCAGGGTCTTCAGCCCATGAGGCCTGTTGCTGTGGAGAACCAAGCGGAAAAAGAGGCTCCTCATAGCCCTGGGCCCAGAGCAGCGGAGTTCCAGCACTGAGGAGAGAGGGGGAGCATGGTGGGGCCCTGCAGAGGCACCGGTTCTTCACCCCTCCCTCTGGGGACTGGACCCGTGGCCAAAACCTCCTGACTACGGGGTGACCTGGAGATCGCCCACCAAAGCTCCCCGTGGCACTCAAAGGTGGCTGAAGGGGTCCCTGTGCGCCTCTTGCCCCTGGCTCCGATGCGTGGGGAGGGCCTAGAGGCACTCCCAGTCACCCCTTTTTCTGAGATGGAATTGGAAGAGTCCCTGCAGCCCGGGGTGCAGGAGGCACAGGCAGACGGAGGGCCCTGAATGGCAGAGTCGCTGGGGAGAAGCTCCCATCTCACCTGGCAAGCCGGTGGGGACCTGGGCCCTAGCAGGTGCACTGCTGCCGCGCCTGTGCCTGGCTGCTCCGTGGCTGCCGTGGCTGCCGCAAGGACGCATCCCCGTACTGGATCCCTGAGCCCATCCTCTCCGGGTCGAGCTCACCTGGTGGGGGAAGAGACGCTCAGGGAACACTGGTTTTGGCTAGAGTCACCCACGGCCCCCTCGGTCCCACAGCCCCTTTGCCACGCGGGTCTACTTACCCAAAGAGAGTCTGGGCAGGCCCTCGGGCAGCTGCCTGGCCGTGGCACATCCTCCAGGCTTTGGGGGGCCACAATTTGAACCAGCTCAAAGCCATTTTGACCCAAACCACTAAGTTGCATCTTCCTGGCCCAGGCGATTGAGGTATTAACCAAAAGACTTATACTGCTGGCTGACTGTACCACAGTTTCCATAGTTCTACCTTCAGGACTCAGGCTGTTCATAAATCTGTTAAAAATAAATAAATCTGACCCACCTGATTCGATTTTATTCAGTATGGTCCGTGCACATTTCAGAAAAGCTTCTTCTACATTTTCTCCAGTCAAGGCACTAGTCTCGAGAAACATCAGCTCTGCGGGGCAAGAAGAAGCCCCGGATTAAGACCACTGCCATAATGCTCCAATGTATGTTCTGAACCCAGATCTGAGCTTGGTTAAAGCCGCAGATGGGTGTGAGGAGCCTTCCTGCACCCCAGGACAGAAGCCCAAACCAAGGGGTGGAGAGAGGGGATTATAGTCCGGCAGGTCAATTGCATAAGTGGCCCAGGAAGGAAACTTGAGAGCAACTGCTCCCTTCTCTCTCAACCCAGCAGCATTGAGGAAAGCAAGGCTCCAGGGGTTGAGTTACATAAACACACAAACACACACACACACACACACACTCACCATTCTCTTGAGCAAAACGAGAAGCTTCCAGAAAAGTAACTTCCCGGTCAGCATCCAAATCCTTCTTGTTGCCGCACAGAATAATTACAATATTGAGGCTAGCCAGAGTCCGGGCATCAGTTAGCCAATTGGTCAAGGCATTGTAGGTCTCTCTGCTGCAAGATGGAATTGACAGGCTGGATGCCAGACAAGCAAATGCCTGCTGGGGAACTCAGGGAAGGCTTTGTCCCAGAGAGGGAAAGGAAACAGATTTCTGCGTGAGCTGCTTCCCTGGCTTCCTCCTCCATATCCCTCTGCTGTCCTACCAGTAACTGACCCCTCCCCACAGCCATTCTGTATGTCAAGATGCTCCTCTTCCCTGCAGCATAAATTTCCGCTAAGAAACAGCATCGTAGCTTTTCTTCCACAATGAAAACTGTCTGTGGGGAGCCGTAGCAGAAACTTCACAGGAATTCCTATTGCCGAAAAGCAAGAGATGGGGGTCCAATGTGCTCACCTCGTGATGTCATACACCAAAAGTGCCCCTGCTGCACCTCTGTAGTAGCTTCTAGTAACAGACCTAGGGAGAAAGTGAACAAGGCTTCATACAGCTAGGGCAGACTGGATGCAAAGCAAACTATTGAAATGGCACTTGCGCGTGCTAACTTGAACCTTATTTCTAAGTGGGTTTCCAGATGCTGAATTGTGCAGTTAGAACCAAGATCACCCTGAAGGCAATCTATTCTGTAAGTACAGAGCATTTTCTAGGCCAACATGTGGGATAGGTTTGGACTCAGACTTGCAGACAAAGCACTCTTTGTTTCAGAGAAGACTTTGAAAAACTGGAATGGCATCTGAAGCCTTGCACAAATAAGTCTCAATGGGGAGGAAACCTTCCCCCCACGTACCTTCACCTCTTTTCAAAAAGAACTTTAACAACTGAGGTATGGAAAAAATAATATCAACCAGAAAATTCAGCAGATCTTGCAAGCTGGGTGAATCAGAAGTACAATCCTTGCAGCACAGGCTCTCATGAGAATCTGCTTTATAAATATCCTACCACTGCAAATCTAAAACTAGTCACTCCAAACCCTTTAAAAATCCTTCCAGGTGCCCTTTCCCAGTTCGGCACTATCCAGGCTCGTCTCCCTGCCGGGGCTGGGCATGGAGAGCAGGGGTGTTCCCCAAAGGAGACTCCTTCTCAACGACTGGGGTGGGGGCTTCCCTCGCCAAAGCCCACAACGGCCAGACCCCTCAGCCCCTGCTTACCTGAACCGCTCCTGCCCAGCCGTGTCCCAGATCTGCAGCTTCACCGTTTTGCCGCCCACGGTCACCACCTTCGACCCGAATTCCACCCCGATGGTGTGGTTGGAGTCCTGCTTAACTGCCGGGGGCCGAGAGGGACAAGGGGGCAGCGGATCAGGCGGGGAAGCCCGGGGACTTAAACGGAGGGCGGGGGGGGGGCTCAGAGAGCGACCTCTGTGGCTCCGTCGCTCGGAGAGGAACCGGGAGGCGCCGTCTGCCCGCAGCCGGAGTCGGCTGGATGGGCGGAGCCACAGCCGCCCGGGGGGCTCCGGTCGGGGCCTTCCCTCCCGCCCCCGAGCACCCCTGGCCAGCCCCCGCCCCGAACGCCGTGACGTCCAGGCGACTCACACTTGCTCTCGATGAACTGGTGCAGCAGGCAGGACTTGCCGGTGCCGGCGCTGCCGATCACCAGGAACTTGAAGAGGAAGTCTGCGGGGGAGACAGAGAGACGGGAGGCAGCCCTTGCAGAGGCCCCCGCCGAGACCCCCTCCGGCCCCGCCGCGACCCCGCCGCCCACGCACCGTAGGTCTCCGACATGGCGAGCGACGCGGCGGCCCTCACCCCCTCCTCCGCCCGCCCGCCCGCCCGCCGGCCTCGTCGCGCAATATGGCGGCGCCCAAGGAGCCGGCCGAGACGGGCGTCGCGGGGAGAAGACGTCAGCGGCCAAGCCAATGAGAGCGGAGGCTCAGGCCGTGCCGCCAATCAGAGGAAAGCTGCTTGGACGGAGGTTATAAAAAGGGTAGCGCGTCGGAAGGAGCTCAGACCGCCCGGGGGCGGGGGGGGGGGGGGGGGGGGGGTCTGGCGGTGCGTCTCCGTGGCTCGTGGTGGACTTCTCGCTCCCGTCTGCCTTTATTCAGCCGTCGATCGAATGCGTTATTTGGGTGGCTCCGCGAAACATCACGGCTGGCTCTCGGCCAGAAAGGCGCTTGCCTGCCTCCCTTCCAAGGTCTCCGGGGTGAAACCCGCGCGCCTTTTTCTCTCCATCCGAGCATTGGTCGTCCGAGCAGGGCCTGGCCCTAACCCTCCCCATGCAAAGTGTTCCCTTCCTCCAGCCAAGGCCTTAATCTGCCTTCACGTTTGATCAATATCTCAGCCTAAAACAACCCTATGCTCTCATGTACTCACTCACTCGGGTGGTTGGGCCAGGAGATCGGGGACAATGAAGGAACCAAGGCCAAGCCACAAAGGGCAAAATGCGCTGACTGGCAGCAGAGGCCCATGTGTAGACACAGACACAGACTGGGCAGCCCACCTTGGCCTGGTGGAATATTTCCCCACCCGTGGGGAGACACTGGGAAGGTGGCTGGACCCTCTTTGCACCTCACTGAGCCTTTCCCCTCCTGCCCCGCAGGCTCCTGCAAGCCCGCTCTGGGAGACAAGTTGCTCTTGGCATGAACACCCTGTCTCTGCCAGGGAAACAGCCATGCCCGCCAGGTGCTCAGGGAAAAGGCACAACAAGGCACTTCCTCCTGAGTCCTGCAGCAGGCAGGGAGAGGGAAGGGTTCCGAGAGCATTTAAGGATACATAGGAGCTCCCCACCCAGCTGGGTCTGGATGTCTTACCTCCCTCTCCTCATCTGGCATTCTTTATCTTGAGCAAGTCAGCGCTGTTGTGTGAGTCACCTGTTTTGGATTGGGCAGTTTTCAGGACTGGGGGAGTTAGAAGCAGGTTGGCCTGAAAGGGCCTGGATTGACGGCAGGTTGAACAGCTGCTGCTCTTAGGTACACATTTCCTCCCTCATTATCAACAAGCTTTACTTCAACCCCTGCTCCGGTTAATACTAACCTTGAAAGCTACATTACATCTTGCAAAGTGCATGATGCTGCCCAGGCCATAGACTTAATTTTTAGTGCTCCTCCTGTGTGCAGAAAGCTCTTCTTTACTAGCATTGATGATGTTACCTAGTTTGGGTAACGAAACCAGCTCAGCGCCATGTTCTTACAGAATACCTCCACCTCGGGTTTCAAGGAAGAGTATATTCCCAAATACTTTTAGGGGAAAATACATTTAAATAGATAATGGTTGTAAAGAAAATGCAGAAAGAAAATATTTAGTGAAAAAAGCCCAGGGAAATGGAAATATTGCATCACCTCAAACTGTTTCTTTCATAAAGATATTAAGGCAGGGCGATCAACTGGCACCGGGCACTCCAGTCTGTGAGGCTGCAGTGATTACAGCTGGAAGATCAGCAGGATAAAGAGAGGCTGGGATTAATAACCCCCAGCCTCATCCCTAAGGGATCCCAAGGTAGAGGAGAGGTCTAAAAGTCTGAAGGCTACGCCAGGACAAGGGCTCTGAGATGAAGGCCTGGGATTGGCCTATCGCATGTCATTCTTTTAAAAAAAAACAAGGCAGTTAGCACTGTTCTCTGAGGCATTTTGTTAACCATATTTTTTAAAGCATGTCATTTCACTTCCAAAAATCATACCATTGGATGGTGCATTTCTGTTTATAATAAAATCAGTTCCTTGGTCAAAACTTTGCACTGTCATTTGGGATGACGATGACCACAGGCGCTCCAGTTGGTTCTGCCCCTGGAGGACCCAGGGCCATTTCTTCCCTTTTTTTGCGCTCAGCGAGAGAGAACAGCTTGGAACTGTCCTTCCCTCGGCACTTAGGAGGGAGAGCTTGAGGCTTTGGCCGCAAAGGGCAGGCCAGGGAGGGGCATGATGCTTCAGGAGGGGCATCGCCCTGGGCTTCTGGACCCCCGACCCAGGACCAATGCACCAGTTCATGAAGGATCCCGGCATCCCTGGGGCAGGGGGAGGGAGGATGCTGACCCCAGCGCTACCATACACAAACGTACTTGTTCCACCAGTCTTTCGAAAGGGCCCAGATGCAGCTGGGGGGGCTCCTCTGCCCCTTGGGGCCTTCACCAGCCCGCAGCCCCAACACAATAGCAGTGTCAAAGACTTCCTTCAGATTCTGCTGGGTGAGGGCCGAGCACTCCACGTAGCCGGCCATGCCCAGCTTCCTGGCCAGAGACCGGGCGGCCGTAGGAGGCACCGGCTTCTCCTGGTGCCGGGAGAGGGCAATCAGCATCTTGACATCCTGGCGCAGGTCTGACTGGGTCCCCACCAGCAGCACCGGGGCGGAAGGGCAGTGGCGACGCACCTCCGGGTACCACTTGTCCACAATGTTCTGGAAGGAAGTGGGTGCCACCACGCTGAAGCAGAGCAGGCAGACGTCGGCCTTTGGGCAGCAGGCCTGCCACAAGGCGTCAAATTCATCCTGGCAGCAGAGCAGGGAAGGGTACAGTGTGAGGGGAGGCTGGCCACTCACTCCTAGAGTTCCCTCCCACTCCAGTCCAGGGCCCAGCCTTGGCCTTTGCAAATAGATGCTTAGGGCAAACCCGATTGGAAGCCTGGCCAAAGTTCAGGTTGGATGCAATACCAACATCACAGCTTGGACAGGAGGCCCTTAAAGCCCTGTCCCCAGCCTCCTGTGAACAGGCCAGAGAACTCCAGTTGCTCATTGCATGAATAGTGTTGTAATCATTGGGACATTGAGTGTGTCTGGGTGTGTGCAGAGTGCCTGTCTCTGCCCCCTACCCACCCGCACTGCTGGGGGGATGAAAAGAAAGTGGAGGCCAGCGAAGACCCCACCCAATCTCTTTGGAGTGGGGATCTGGGGACCGGGGTGTTTCCCAGGTGGGAGTAAAGCAGAGCGGGGCCCAAAGAGAGCAGGGCCGCCCCCGCTCCGTTGGGGATCCCGCCCGGGGAGGCTGCTCGCTTCCAAAGGACCCCAGGAGCCACAGCCGCGTTCGCCGGATCCACTTTTGCGAGGCGCCTGGAGCCGAAGGCCGTCGATCCCGGCCGCGAGAACAACGCCAAGCGCGGCAGCCTGAATTCCTCGGCTGGACAAGTCCTTACCTGCCCGGCCGTGTCGCACAGCTGGAGACGGATGGGGGCGCCGTCCACCTGGACCACAGCTGGGGAAACACAACAGGCGCTCCGCTTAGCCGACAGAAGCGGGAGGGGACCCGCCGACGCGGCGCTGAGCCCCTCCTCACCGGGCCTCCCCAAAGACTCTGCTCCGGCGCCCCCGGGCCCTCCGCCCCCCTGCGCACGCGGCGCCGGCCTAGGGCAGCGCCCTCCCCGTGGCGGAGCCGCCGCGACGGTACCCGAGAAGCGGTCGAGGGCCGTGGGCACGTAGCGCGCGGGGAAGCCGTTGGTGCTGTAGCTGAGCGCCAGGCTGGTTTTGCCCACCGCGCCGTCGCCCAGCAACACGCACTCCAAGCCCCGCAGCGGCCGCCACCGACGGGGTCGGGGTCGGTGCGAAGGCACCGGCGGCACCGGCATCGGCGAACCGTCGGAGTGCAGCGGCGACTGTGGCGCTCGGCGGCAGCTGGAAGGCGAGAAGCCTCATTTGCCTGGCCACGCCCCCGGGGCGCGGACCTCCAGCACCTGCACCCGAGACCCGCCGGCCTTGAGCACGCCGCCGACAGCCCGAGGGCGGGGGGGGGGGAGGGAGTGGCCCGTCCGCGCCTTCGAGCAGGGGGCTCAGGCGAGCGTCGGCTTCTTCCCCTCCGCGCTCCCAGCGGTCCGCCAGGCAGCGCAGCCCCGGGGCAAGGGGCTTGGCCTCCCTGCCCAGGAAGAACTCCAGCTCCCCCAGCCCCACCGCGGAGGGGGCTCGGTGCTCTGCCCGGGAAAATCTGGCGAGGTCGCCCAGGAAGGCAGCACTCTGCTCATGCTCAGAAGCCAGATCTTCCTTCGTGGTCCCTGGTCGAGATCCCATCTAGGCTTTTCCACGTGAATCGAAAACATCTCTTCCGCGCTAAGCTTTTTTATTTTGAGGTTGGGGGCGTTTTCCCCCCCTGCTTTTCCTCTTCTTGGGGTTGGGTGTCCCTGCAGGAAATGCCCAAAGTTTGTCTTGGCAGACTCCCAATCCGCTCCCAGCATGCCCTGCCCCACCCCCACCCGGCGGATCCTGCAAAACCCGTTTGGCAAGGAACACCTCCATCGCCCTGGGCAGGGATCCCGAAAGGAAAACAGCAGAGCTGGGCAAGAGGCAGGCAAACCTCAGGTAGCCCAGCCAATCCTGGGTCTTGGGAGCACAGAACCCACCCAGCCCCCCTCCCCAGGAGGTCCCCAGGCAGGCAGAGCATCTGATTAGACTTTGGGCAGCAGGAGCTCCAGTGCCACCCGGCAACCCACCCCACAAGCTCCAAGCTGCCATTTCGCCTGGCCGGTCAGGAAGCCAAAGCTGGAAAGAGCTGAGCTTCGGCTGGGGACCGATGACCCCTCCTACTAGGGAGGGGGCCCAAGCAGAGGGCCTTTTGGGGGGGGGGTTAGCCATGGGAGCCAGAGCAGATCTGTTATTCAGAGACAGGCAGAGGAGTAGCATCCATTGGGTGAAGCCCCTCTGGGTTGGATAAAGCATCTTCCTGAAGTCTTGAGTGGGATACAGCCACCCCCCACCCCCAAATGGATGCCCCAACCCTGTCAGGCTTTTGCAAGGCCCTGGAGACCTGACATCTTCCCAGTCGCTGCTGCAATTGGAGTGGTTGTAACCTTGGGTGATCTGTCTTCATCCCTGCATGCAATTGAGAATAAACACCTGCCCTTAAGCAGCGCCTGCCAGGGTTCCCTTTCTTGGGGATTAAGCCCCACCCAGCAACGGTTCAGACTTTGCAAGACTTTGGTAATCCTTGGTCTTTGAAGCCCCCCACCCTCCTGAGTTCAAACTGAGTTTGCCCACTAGGATTCAAACTAAGTGTTCAATACAGCATCTGCCCTGGCAGTTTTGCAGCAGCATAAAATCCACTCTGGAAAGACAGCACCTTTGCTCTCAACCGAAGACAAACAACGCCTCTTTTATGAATTACGCAGCACTGCCAGGCAAGCTTGCCACTATAAGCCAGCTTGGAAACTCAATCAGCCAGGTGGGATCAGGGCCCAAGCTCCCCCCACCCCCATGGGGCAACTCCTGGCTTGGCCTGTGGTGAGAGAGAGAGGCAGAAAGTTTCAGGGGCTTCCACAGCAACAGCCCAAATAACCGAGACCCACCAGCCTCTGGCCAATGAGACCCAAAGCCGACCAAAAGAAGGAAGGACCAAGTTTATTGCCCAAAGGAAAAGCTCCAGGTGCAATGTCTGGCCGTCAGACTCTGGGTACAAAGCTTTTGCCAGGAATCGGCTGCTCCTTTCAGACGCCCCCTTCCACTCCGCCTGCCTCTCTTTCACTCGTCCATACACTCGCGCACACACACTTACCTGCACCAGAGGCAACATTAGAGAAACAACATAAACCATTTTACAGGCAGAAACTAGGAAAAAAGGCCAACAGTTCAGGAAGGGCCCCCGCCTCAGGAAGGGGCCTCACTTCTTGGCGAAGGAGATCTTCATAGCGTTGTTCTGGGTGATCTTGAACCCTTGCAGGGCATCACGGGCGGCACCGGCCTGCACCTCATTGTCGAATTCCACAAAGGCAATGTCATGGCGCCCGGGCACCAACCGGACCTCCTTGAAGCCAGGGAACCTGCAGCAAAGCAAATCGAGCTGAGTCTGCGAGGTTGGCATCCCTCCTGAGTCAAAAGGGGATCCCTGCACGGGGGGGGGCTGGGGGGGGGGGGGGGGCATCAGGATAGGAAAGGCTGGTGCGCAGACCACGGAGGGAAGTCCAACCTTCCACCCCAGGCAGCCCTTCGCTGCCAGCCCTGCCCGGTCACCCTCCCCCAAAGCCCCACCAACGAGCGGGACTTACTGATTGAAGAGCATGGACAGCATCAGCTCATTCGTCTCCTCGGGAAGGTTGGTGAGGAACAGGATGTGGTTAGGCGGATTCTCCGACAGCTGCAGAGAACAAAAACATCTCACTGTTCGGATCGCTTAAGGCCCAGGAAGGAAGGGGCAGCCCTCGGACACAGACCCCCCAGTGGGTTCTACTCGATTAACCAGCCCAGCCAAGCTGGCCCTGGGTCACTCACCTGCTGTGCTGTGGCCATCTGTCCTGGCAGCATCTGTTGTGGTGGCATCGCCCCTGGGGGAATGGAGCCCGGTGCCATGCCAGGTGGTGGCATCATGCCTGGAGGTGGCATGTAAGGGGGCTGCCCTGGCATGTGGTGCATGACACAGGGGGCCTGGTTCATGGGGGGCATGCCCTGAGGAGAAAGCAAGGGAGGAGGGGTTCGCGCTGGGCCTCCCTCAGCAAAGACAGCCGCAGGGCCCTCCAAAAAGCAGAGACACCTTCCTCTTGTGGCTGCCATTTGAAAGCCAGCATGAAGCTCCCAAAGAGCCCTGAATCGCAGGACGAGGCCAGGGAAGGAAAAAGTTCATACTTTTCCCTGCTTTTGTTAAAGGTGAAGCCACCCCCACCATCCCCCGCACACACACACTCTGCCAGGGTCTGGGTTCCACCTTGGAGAAGAGCAGAATTGTTTCCCCAGAACCAGCTGGCCCCAAAGTGCCCGGAGGCAGGCACTCACCGGCACGGTGCCCTGGACAGAGGGGGCAACTGGGCCAGCTGCTCCTGGCATCTGCTTCTTAACTGCTTGCACCTCCTGGCCTTTGGGCTTTCGCTTCTCTCTCTTGCGGTCCCGCTCCACAAAAGTGCCCTTCATCTTGGCTATGATGTCAGAATCTACCTTGGCATACTGGATCCTCTGGGTATGGCAAAGAAGCACCGAGTTACCTGACGCCTGGCCAGCAAACTCCCAAGCTTCCCTGGGTCACAATGGCAGAAAAGGCCATCTTGGTGAAGCCACCTGGGAGTTCAGAGCCCCTTGGCCGACTGCAATTCTATCTCCTTTCTCAGGAGAGCCACCTGTCTTCCCTTCCTCCTGAAGCCAAGAACGGTAGTGACTCACCATGGGCTTGTCGTAAAAAGGGAACCCCTGCATGGACCGTAAGGCATTGGTGGAGCTGCATATCTCTTTGAAAATGACAAAGGCCTGGCCTCTCATTTTCAGGTTGCGGGACACCAGAATATCGAGAATCTGTCCAAACTGGGAGAAAATGGCATAGAGAGACTTCTTGAGCTCTGTGGGAAAAAAGGAACATTTTTAACTTTCGCTCTATGCTCTGCAGTTGTATTTTCTGCAGTCAAAACACAAATTGGTTACTGTGTTTTAAACATTCTTCAACTGAGGTTTGGGACAGTTATTGTCCTTCCATAAATGCCAGGAAAAGAATAAGCAAAATTTGCACACAAAGTACAGGTGCTGCGATATACGCTCACCTGCTCCAAATATGCTTCTTCCTTTCCGGAAGAATCTGGGAACCCAAAATAGATCACCAATGTGGGAACTGCACCCCTTCTAAGGCAAAATGCCCACCCCTAAAGATACACCGCATTAACGCTGAAGTAGCATCCCCGACTCACCATCTTTCTTGATTTTCTCATTGAGATTGTTGATGTAGATGGTGTGGTTGGACCGGGATTCTGGGACTGCCATGACACCTGCAAAGCTGAGGCTGGTGGGGAATGGAAAGATTCAACCAAACAAAGTAATTAATTCTTGCATTAAAAGATAAAAGCGAGAGAAAAATCTTAATTAGGAGGGAGCTGAACTGCAACACTCAGCCAGCCGCAAGGAAATGGCCACCGGCCCTCCGACACGCCACAGAAGAGGACAGAGGAGCCAGTGGATCCCGGTGACAGACTGCGTAGCTGGGAGTGGAAAGGAGACCACTCGGTAAAGCATGAAGTGGATGGGAGGCCACCAGATTGCCTTGATGGGAGGGGCCGCGCAGAATACAAGGAAAGCGCCCGCCTTCTCTTTGGAGCGCACTAAATGTTGTCCCGTATTGGGTAGGATCTACCCGGGATCTATTTTTCTTCCAAGAAAACGCGACTGCCACTTCCCCTTCCCTCCACTTCTCCCTTCGAATTCCGTTCGAGCTGCGACGGCTGCTACCCCGGATGCTCGGGCTCACGCGCCTCCTTGGCCTCTCCGGCTTCGGGAGGGTCCGGAACAACCAAGAGTCCGGTCCGCCCCGCTGCCCCCGACGGCGCGCCTCGCCCCCAGCGACACCCCACGCGTGGATTGCGCCTCGCTCGCCCGATCCCTCACCGATCCTGCGCAGGCCGCGTCAGGTCGCCCACAAGCGCTCCCGCCGATCCTTCCTCGCGTCCTCCACTATTGGACGATCGTTAGCCAATCACCGCTGGGAGATGATGACTTCCTCCTGCCTCGCCAACCTCCAATGGCCAGCGTGCCTTACCTTTACTCCCGCCCCAAATGGGTCCGCCTTTCGGGATATAGTCTGCCCATCATCCCAGCCGCAATGCTCGATTGGTTGATTACAAGTCGGTCCAAGATTGGCGCGCCACACGCTGGAAAATCCTCACTGACGCGAATGGATGACGGAATCCGAGTGCCGCCTGACTAACCAATGGAGATTCGGCCGAAGGCTCGTGACCTTTGACCCGCTAGGTTTGCGGCGGCATGGCGGAGGCCGTGCGGAGTTTGGCGGCGAAAAGCCCCCCCGCGCCCCCGCCCCCGCCCCCGCCCCCTCCTCCGCGGGGCGCCGCGCTCCTCCTGGCGACGGCGCAGAAGGCGGGCGGCCTCGGGGACCGCGACGGCGTGAGAGAGCTCCTGCTGCGGCAGAAGTCCCGGTAAGGCCGGACCTGGCCTCCCGAGCGCGGCCGCCCTTGAGCCCGATGCTTTGGGGACGGCGAGAGCGGGAAGGGCCGCTGGTGCTCGGCGGGGCTCTGAGGCTGCCTCCCCGCTCTGTTGCAGGTTCAGCCGGCATCTGACGTGGCTGCTGTTCCTCCGCCCGGTCCCGTCCCTCATCCAGGAGGGCCCGCAGTGAGTATCGCCGGTGGGGGGGGGGAGCGCGTCCCAAGGGAGCCGGAGGAGCTGGGGCCTTTGGCCCGTCTCCCCCTTTGGGGCGGTCTGAACCTGCCGGCATATAGAGATTGGCGGATCTGGGATGGCTTCCCTCTGGCAACAGGCGAGGCCGGCCTCGGTAACTGGCCTCTCCCTCGGGCTGAAGATTACAGGAGGCCGGACTTTGTGCAGCCCAGAGCCTCGGGCTTTCTTCCTCCTGCAGGTGTGGTTTGGTGGCCCTTTGGATGGCCGGTGCTCACCTCTGCCTGCCATCTGAGGTCCCCCTGGAGAGAATTAGGCAGGTGGCTCTTGCGAGAGGCTACACGGCACAAGGAGAAATGTTCTCAGGTCAGTAGCTGAGAAGCACAAACGGGCAAATCTGTCAGGGCTGTGGAGAGGGGAGGAGGCTGCTCATCCGGATCCCGTTATGCAGGGCGCCAGTTGGGTTAGGGGCTCCTTTGTCGCGGCTCCAGCATTCCCTTTGTCACCTCCCCCCCCAAGCTGCTGACATGGCCAACCTGGCGGAGGAGGTCTTCTCCTGTGAAACAGAGCTGCTCTCTGGAGGCCTGCAAGGACAGAACCACGACAGGATTCTTCAACATCTCGGTGCTGGCTTCCCTGTGCTGATACCGTATCCTTCTCTAAGGAAGCGTTTCCTTTCCATTTCCTTCAAGATTTCTCTGAAGTTTGAAACTGTTTACTGAGAAAGCAGAGACTTTCCGTTGGCCTCTTGCTAGCGGGGGAAGGGGTGTTTTCCCCAAAGGCAGCCAGTGCCACAGGGGAGCTTTCTCTTGAGCCAGGCCGGACCTTAATGCCTACCGCAGCTATGATGAGGACTACAACCATGAGCCCTGCCTCCGGAATGGCTACAAGGCTCATTGGGCTGTGGCCTCTGGTATGCTCTGCTGGCTAGCTGTCCACAAGGGGGTGCTGTTGCCACGCCGGAATTGTGGGTTGTGGTTCATCTCTGGGTATCCCAGAGAGGCGGCTTGTGCTTTGCTTTGGGGGAGAAACGTGGCAGAATGACATGTCCCGCCCATGTCCCTGGATGGGGATTCTGGGAATCTTGGTCCCAGCACAAGTGACAGATGACCAAGTTTTTTTTGGGGGGGGGCAGAGATTCTAAGGCATCTCTGTTGTGGAAGGGAGGTTGGTTGGGAAGGACAGATTTGACCAGGGATGGGGTTAAATTTCAGCATCAGCACTGGCCTGCATGGGCACTATAAAGATAACCCCCTCTTCCTTCTCCATTCAGCCGTTCCATTGAGGGCCCAGAAATCTCCCCCTCCCCCCATCTTATTTCTTTCCCAGGAGCTCTGCTTGGTCTGAAGAGTGATTCCCACCTGCCTGCCTGCCAGGAAGACAAGGACATCCCGGGGCTCTTCCACGCCAGCCACACGGCTTCAGCCGTCCCTTTGGAAGCCGTCACCGAGACCTACTTGCTATCCAAGCAGGGCAAGAGTTGCCGCTACCAGCTGTGGAGTTATGCTCAGATACAGCAGAGCAATGCTCAGCTGACGGGCTTCAGTCCCAGGCGGGCGGCTGATGGAAAAGTGTACATTGTGCCTGCAGGTGGGGTGCGAGAGGGACTGTGTGGACAAGCAGTGCTGCTGCAGCCAAGGCCGTGAGGGTGCTCTGGTGGCACCAAGTCTGCGCTGAAAGAAGGCTGCACCTGGCTTTGCAGAAGCGCTGCTGGGCTGTTAAAGGGACTTAGACAAATGCATGGGAACTGCTCACATCTAGCAGTGCCTTGAGAGAGGGACATTAGGAGGCAAGGAAAAGAGGTTCCCTCCCTCGCAGAGCTCCAGGACACCTGGACATGGATGTGGAAAGACAAGCTTATACTTGAAGCCCATTTATGCCAACCAACCTGGCATTAGAACTTTGTGTTTCAGTAGAAGGAAGAACGGAGGAAATAAGACTTTCGGGTGGCTTACATTGCGTCTCTGCAGGGGGCTTTTTGCCTCCAGAAACTAGAACAGCTGTTCTGATTAGTAACGAGCCCAACTTTGCAATTGTAAGCAGGAGGGAATAGAAATGCAGGTGTGAAAGTCAAGTGACCACAAGCCTTTTTGCCCCTCCTGCTGCTGCTGCTGCTGTTAATAAAGGAGCACAACTCTGCGTGGCACTTTGGGCCCTCGCTGGCTGCGTTTCTCTCTTAGCTGTTGTAGCTCCCTCCCTCTTTACTGCCGGCCCAGATTTTCCCTTCCGCCTGACTTTTAAAACAGCCTCTCCTTCCTCATTCTGTGCCAAGCGACTGCTAGAAATGACCTCATGGGGATGCTTTGAAGCACCCTCCTCCCAGGAGCCAGCAAGTCAAAGGTCACTTTGAATTTGAGACGGTCTTTCTAGATTTTCCTTGGATTACTTCCCTAGGCTCACCTAAGCTGGTTTACCTAGAGCAGGGGTCCCTACCCTGTGGGCCGTAGCCCACTACCAGACCGTGGTCTAACCGCCACCGGGCAGGAGGGCCAGTGTTTCCCTGTGCGTGCCTGCAGCCCCACTCGCGTGAGCATCACAGGCACTTGCGCTTGTGCACATGCCCCTCCCACTCCAGTCTGCCAACCCGGAAACTCTGACCTAGAGTGCCAGCCGTGGATCGCTTGGACGTATTTTATGTATTTAATCAAACTTAGGCCCCACCCCACCCCCGATCAGGAAAGGGAAAAGGAACCATTTCCAGTATGATGTTTCTATGTTCACATGCAGTGCGTGGCATGGAGGTTCTCCAGCCAAGTTGCTTTTTCAAGCATGGGAGGGTGCCCAGGAGGGCTTTGCACCATAAAACTCAATGTTTCTATACGCAGCTCACGTGGAGAAGAGTGGCTCCTTCTGGGGTCCTTGCATCTAGCTGATTTGATTGATGGGTGCTTGAGAAGCACTCCCTCTTCTAAGAAGAAATGTTGACATTGCTACTCTTCAGTCTGTTCCTTCCGCCCGTTCAAAAATTGCAGCTCTGCTGCCTTCTCAGAGTAACGGCATTCTCTGTACATGGGATTGCAGCTTCTAAGGGACACCTCAGGCCCCCAGCTGTCCTGGAGGCGCCTGGCCTTCCACACTTCCCCAAAGATTGGCCGCTGGGCATTCAGAATGCCGCCAGTTCTCTGGGTAGCTGCAGTCCAGTCCTAGACATTCCTGGGGTTTCTTAGGATATCTGACTGAAACGGAGTCGGAGTCAGAGTCAGTTTGACTAAGCTGGCAGCACATTGCTCCTCTTGTTACGTGGGGCTTGTGTCCACGGCGCGGCCTGGTTTTTCCAGCATGTTTTGCATGATTGCCATGAGGTTTTCCAAGCCCCACAAGTATCCATCTTCACGGTTGCCTTCCACCCAAGGCAGCTGGTGGGTCAGGGTCTATTTGTCAGGCAGCGGCACTGTCTTGCCAAAGTCAATCATGCAGACTCTGGCAAGCCCCGTTTTGTCATGCACAAAAAGGAGAGAGCTGCCTACCACCTGGAAGCAGAGAGAGAGAGAACTCAGGGCCATGAAGGTGCCAGACAGATACCCATCTGGTTGGCAGGAAGATGCCAGAAAGTGTGTCTTGCTTAGCAGAGTTGGTCCAAGGAGCATCTAAACAGGGTTTGCTGAGCCAGCCCAAAGTATCAAACCAGAAGGATGCCACTGCTTGTTAGTCCTAATGTGCCACCCTAGCCAGAAAAGGCACCCAGATAACGGGACAAGGCTGCCCTTCTGGAACGTTCTCCCCAAAGAAAGGCAAAAGCGCACCTCATGTGCCTTGAAGAACTCGGACTGATCCAGTGCCACTCTCACCTCCTGCAGCTGCTCCAGGTAACTGCTCTATGGAGAAAGGAATGACCTTGGGGAATGGAGCAGCTACAAGCTGGGCCAGGGGTCTTCCCACTGACCCCCCTGTAGGCGAAGAGGCTTGGATTATTAATGGAGGCCCCTAACTCAGCTTGGAGCTTCATGTGCCAAAGCAACAAAGCTGCTGCATCCAATTCAACTCCAGTGAGAGGCTCTGTTGCTGGGACTGCTGGGCCCACAAAGCCACCACCAGGTGGGGTAAACCTGCAGCAGATTCCCAGGTGGGGTTGAAGGCCTGAGGAAACAGGCAGCATTTGTCAAGGGCCCTCCCACCCAAGCCCTGTCTTCCCCTGGGCAGAAACTGGATGCTCACCAGAAGGTGTTTGTCCTTGTCCAGGAAGTCCCAGAAGGCCTCCACGAGCTGCTCAGGTTGCCGGGTCTTCTTAAAGCTGGTGCTGCAGGCGCCGCTGGCTGTCTGGGGGTATGGAGGGGTGGGGGAGGAAGAGCCTAGTCAGTCTTTACCTAGGTCAGAAAACAGACTCCACAGGAAGGAGGAAGCCCTGTGGAGACGGCTCTAGGAGCAGAATCTCGCTGGTCTGGGGGTTTCTGGGAGCCAGCCCAAGCCTCCTTTCCCAGGGCACAAGGCATGCTTGGTTCTGGCAGGGATCCCCTCGGGTCTTTCCCCAAACAGAGTACCGGACGGCAGGGAGACGGGGCAAGAGAGCCGCCAGGATCCAACAGGCAGCTGAGCTTGGCAGGGGGAACACCCCCTCCCCAACCAACGCTGGGCTTCCCGGGCAGCCAAGCAGGAGTGCTTAGCTTCCTAATGAGAAGCCCCCACTCACCTTGATGCCCTCGATGCGGAACCCGAGTGAGCTGGTGGAGCTGAGCGACTCCCTCCACTGCATGTAGCGGGGCTTCAGCACGCCATGCTGGGCGTGTTCCTCCGGCGTGGGAGCAGAAGGGTCCACTGCCATCATCTTGTCATACATGTCATGGCGGAGGCAAGGCTGCTGCCTCGCCTTCTCCAGCTCTTCCTCCAGGTACGTCCTGCACACAGGACAGGGAGAAGACGGGACCCTTGGAGGCGTTTGTGGGGCAAAGCTCTCTGGAAGATGCAAGGAGGCTGCCCGCTCCCCACCCCGGCCAAGGGCGAGCCGAGTCCCCCACCAGGGAGCAAAGGACGGCTCACCTGACCCCCATCTTGCAATCCATGATGGAAGGGTTCTCGAAGCCACACAGCAGGTCCTCCATCCGGATGTAGGGCTCCCCATCATGCTCCACCATCCCATAATATGCCGGGACATACGGCTGCAGCGCATCGCCTCCCAGGCGCTCCAGGCACTGCTGCTCATTGGAGCAGTGCCTCTTCAAGACGTGGCCCAGATCCCCGGCCTTGAAGTTGCCTGAGGAGGATGGAGGGGTTGTGGGAGGAAAAGCTCAGCAGGCGTCCCGCTGGGGCCTCACCCGCTATGGAGGGTGCCCCCTCCTCCCGGGGCAAGAGCCGCTCCTTTACCTGCATGGCCAGCGAGCTGAACCCAGGGGTGGCGCTTCTGGAAGGAGACCAGGCAGGGCGACCACTGCACCAGCCCCTTCAGCTTCTTCCAGGGCTTGTTCTGCAGACACAGCGAAGGGGAGAGGATGAGCGGGGGGGGGGGAGTCTGCCCCAGATCCAGAGAATTCTGGGCGGAGGAGTGGGACTTTGGGGGAAAGAGAGGAAGCGCCTCGCTCCCGCCTTGGAGCTTGCTGGAGTCAGGCTGCCCAAGCAGGTCGCCGTGGTGACGCGGCTCCTTGCAAGCATGGGAAGAGCCGGCCTGATACAGAAGAGCAACCCTGGAGTGGAGGAGGATCACCTGCTCTCCCGCCTCAGGGAGCCTCCCACGAAAGACAACGGCACCCTGTCCCCAGCAGAGGCCAGGCAGGTCAGGAACCTGAAGGGAAAATAAACTTGGAAGGGCATGGAGCTCATTGGCTGATGAGCCCACCTCGCAGGGTTGTCGTAGAGCAAAACAGGACCGCCATATTTGCTTCCTATGATTCTTGGAGAAAAGCATGTAGGATGTATCAATAACAACCTCTTATTATTTTCTTCACAGCAATGAGTTCCAATGTCTTGAATGTCTCCCTCTCTTTTCTTTTGAGATAATTTCAGAAACAGAATGAAGGGGCCCAGGAGCAGACCCTTCTTTCCCCTCCCCCCGCCCACACCCCCTACACCCCCAGAGCAGTCCCCAAGTAAACTGGACCCAGCAGTGGGGAAGATCCTGCTTGGAAGACCTTAGAGAAGGTAGAGAGATGCCAGAGCAGCAGCGGTGGGGCGGGCGGGGGGGGGGGAATACCACAAAGTTGTTGCTTTTGTTATATCACAGGGCGGAAAGGCCCTCCACGGAGGCACCTTTTTATCTACACTGTCAGGACGGGGGGGGGGGGGAGGCCAGGCAGGAGGACCCGTCTCCTGGCCACATCCCCATTTGCACCGGGTGACGAAACCTGTCCCCTCCGCTGAAAAAGCCACCAGTTCCCAAACCACGGTGGGGAGCAGAAACCGGCTGGTGCAGGAGCCCCGCTGCCTCCCATCATGCAGAGCTCCTCGGGGCTCCTGGGCAGGAAAAAGGGGGAGGGCGCATCCTGGAAACCGGCTCTGGAAGAAAGGCCAACATGCCCACCCCACCCCACCCCCCGACAGGTTTGGCTGGTTGGCACAGGACGGGCAGCAGCAGCAGCAGCAGCAAGGGTGGCCCTGGCAGGTGCCACGTTTCCCATCCCTCTCTTGTAAGCAGACAATCTCTGGGGAAGAACAGCCAGAGGGCACCTGCAGCACGGCTGAAGCCAGAGCCGAGCAGCCCCACCAGCCACAGCCCTTCAGAAGCCCATGCGGACAGCCAGCTATTCAGTGGGGAAGCGACTAGGGGGCCCTTGTGAGGCAGCCCCTTCCTTTCTCCTGCCCAGGACAGGAAGCATTTCCCCCGCCCCTCCCTGCAGCTCTGAGGAGCCCCTGGGAAGGAGGGGGGGCACTCACCAGAAAGGAGCCCCTGTCCGGCTTCCGCATGACTTCCCCTAGGCCAGGAACGCTGGCTGTCCAGCCAGGGGAGGTGGGCACCTACCCAGCCCCAAGGTGCACGCAGCCAAAGCACTGCTTTCCTGGCCACACCCCTGGCATGATGCTGATGGCACCGTGCCCCGCCCCCCGCTTTTCCTGGAAGTGGAGAAAGGAAGGGCAGAGAGAGGAGACAGCAGGTTGCTCAGCAACCTGGGGTTGTTGCAAGAAATTTTCCATGACAGGCAAAGTGGAGAGCAAGAGGACTGTCAACAGACAAGTCATTGTGGAGCAAGACGTCTCTGCCCTGGAGGCCTTGACAGTGCACAGGCTCTGCTCAAGTCGGAGGAGGGCGATCAGGCCAGACTCTCGCGCTGAAACGTGCCTCATAATTCGGGCACCCTGTGGTGTCCCTCATGCGGGAGGGCCAGACTGGAACCTGCAAGGTGGGCCGAGTGAGGAGCAGCGTCTCCACGCCACGCCTGACGGACAAGCTCCCAAGGACTGGGTGTGCCATGCAAGGGGTGGCCCTTGAAAGTCGTTGCTGGGAGCCCCTTCTGCCCTCGGAGAAAAGCACGTGCAGAACCACCATCACACTTGGCACTTCGGCTTCTCCACTGAGCAACACAGCGAGCCCCACACAAGCCATTTCCTGGCCCCCAGGAAATACCAGCCAGCGATTCAGGGTGAGAAGTCCTATTCTTCCAGAACAATCCTCTTGTGCAATCAGAGGCCTTTTGTGGGGCTGACCAGGGACTAGGAGGATGACCCCGGTGAGCAGCCCCCCCTCTCCCCGTGGTCTTTCCATAGAGCAAGCCCCGTCCCTTCCTTGCCGCTCTAGCTCTTCTGTGCTTTGAACTCAGCAAAGGCCTGACGCATTTTTCTTGAATGACAGCAGCACCGATGTCCCCCTCCCCAGGCTGGGGGGGATGTTTCCTCCAGTGAGTGTTCAGTCTGCATCCAAATGCTTGCAAAGGAGCCACAGGTGGGGAAATGATGGCCTTCCTACCGTTGATCTACCCTGGCCTTAAAAGAAGCTTGAACCGAAGACGCTTCTTCGATGGGAAGCGAAACCTCTTCAAGCAAAAAGAAAGTTCAGTTGCCTTTTGAAAAAGCACCTTTGGGACAACCAGGACTGTCTGGATGACTGAGAATCTCCTTGTCTCACCTTCACCTCTTAGCCTCTGGAATCTCAGGGTCCTTCACAGGACAATGCAAATTCTGCACCACTGCCCCAGCCTGCTTGCCTCAAAGGTCTTCTGGAGAGGTTCCCCCAAATACTCTTTTGCCTGAGGATCCCTGACAACTGGAGGGATCCTGCCAAAACCCCTTTGTTCAAGAGAGTCAGCTGCTGCCGGGTCCTGAGACAGCTTCCCACAAAGCCAGAACAGCCAGGCGCTTTAGAAGAAATTCTATTTTTAAGCTTGCGTCATTTTCAATGTGACTAATTCCATTATGTTTTTTATTACAGTGAATTAACTTGTGTAAACACATTCATTAGTACTTCTTTGAACGCTGCCCCAGCATCTTCCTATGAAGGGAAATGCAGAAATATCTTAAATAAACATCTTGGTTTACCAAAATAAGCCCTTTGTTGCTCTAGTTCATCCTTCAGGCTCTTTCTAAGGGTTTCCGTTCAGGAGGCAAATTAAGAGCCTTTAAAGTTCATGCCAAGAATTTAGCCCTTTTTGTGTTTCAAATGGCCATAGAAAGGGGCCTCCTGCCACTTGGGGTCTGCCAGGACGCTCCCCCCTTCTGCTTCCTACCCTTTGCAAGAGCCTTGATGGGCACATGCCCAAAAAGGATCTCAACATTGACTACCGCGCTGATTGTATCAAAACAAAGTCACACAACCCACAACTCCACATCCAACCCTACCTCATCCAACCCACCATCACTCAAAACTAGGCACGCACTCCCCTAACTACCTCAATTCCAACAACAACTGGCCTTAAATGAAAGCTACTCAATGCAAGAAGCCTTGTGAATAAAATACCTGAATTTCTCCTCTTACCAAATATGGCTAAATTCGACATCATATTTGTCTGTGAAACATGGCTCAACGCATCTCTCCCTGACTCCATTACCACAGTAGGAGACTATCATGTTTACCGATCAGATCGTGAAATCTGTAGAGGAGGTGGTGTTGCTATCTTCTATAAAAAGTCCCTACATCTAAAAAACGTCCAAGTTACCCAGGAGCTTGCTATTCCTGAGACCATCGTCTGTGAACTGTCCTTAAATATAACATTTCTGTTCTTACTATGTTAGAGCCCCTGATTATGACATCGAACATGCAAACAAGCTAAATACACTACTAACCTGGGCAGCATCCTGCCCACATGCTTTTATCTTTCTTGGTGACTTCAATCTACCTCATATTACTGGACCCTTAATGAATGTACAACTGAACCCACACATGCAACCTTCTATAATGCTGAAACAAACCTGGGACTGGAACAACTAGTAACCAACAATACCAGACGTAACAACTGCGTCGATCTCATCTTCTGTAATAGTTTGAATTCAATTTATGGAATACAAATTATAGAACCCTTTTCCAACAGTGACCACAGCATGACTGACTTTTGTTTCAACATACGTCCACACAAAAATCAACACAACGATGTGATCCCCAATCATCTTCAAAAAAGGCAACTATGATCTTATAGACAACGATCTCTCATTCCTTGATTGGCAATCTCTATTCACTGGATGCAATACTGTTGAAGACCATTACAACATATTTTTACTTGAAGTCAAAAGAGTCATCAAACTATATGTACCAATAACAACTCCAAAAAAAAACCAGAAAAAAACAGATTACCCATAACAATAAGGAAGCTTCAATCCAAAAAGAAATCACTTTGGCGGAAAAACAAATCTGATCACGTTGCCAACTTCAAAAGCCGATACAAAAATTTATGCCACTGGATAAAGACTGAATGCACCAATTATCATATTAAACAAGAGGAAAATCTTCTATGCACCAATTCCACCTGTGCTTTCTACAATTTTGTAAACAACAAACTAAAAGACTCAAGGTCCATCCCACCCCTGAAAGGACCTAAAGGTAAAGACTGCAATGACAATACTATTAAAGCCAACCGCTTTAACACATTTTTTGGCTCAGTATTTGTAAACAGCAATGGATCATGCCCAGTATTTCCTAGTCGGACCACAGACAACTACAATGATCTAATACAGGGATCCCCAACCTTTTCGACGCCGCGGCCCGGTTCCGGCGTCAGCTGGGCGCCGCGGCCCGGTTCCGGCGTCAGCTGGGCGCCGCCATCTTTTTCTGACGAAAAATCACTTCCGGTGACGTCACCGGAAGTGATTTTTCGTCAAAAAAGATGGCGGCGCCCAGCAACCAGCGGCCCGGTAAGGCTTGTTCCGCGGCCCGGTACCGGTCCGCGGACCGGCGGTTGGGGACCCCTGATCTAATACATATTGATTTTACAGAAGACAATGTTGAAAAAGCACTATGCAATCTAAAACCATCTCTATCTATTGGACCGGACGGAATATGTGCCTACTTCTTAAAAAAGCTATCCAATGCCATAGCCGAACCTCTAAGCATAATCTTTGAAAATTCTTTCAGGACCAGCTCCTTGCCAAACCTATGGTCACTAGCCACGGTCATCCCCATCTTCAAAAAGGGAGACCCCAGCCTAGTTGAAAATTACAAACCAATCTCTTTATGCTGCGTCACCTGTAAAGTCATGGAATCAATTATTAATCAATCCATTATCCTCCACTTAGAGACAAACAACCTACTCTCCAATAAACAATTTGGTTTCAGAAAAATACTACCCTGCAATCTGCAACTCTTACACTGCAAAAACATATGGACTACACAACTCGATCAGGGCAAAGCAATAGACGCAATCTACATAGACTTCTGTAAAGCCTTTGATTCAGTGGTACACGACAAACTACTCCTAAAACTAAAATCTTATGGTATCTCTGGACACCTGCATAACTGAATAGAAGCATTCCTGTCAAACAGACAACAAATGGTCAAAATTGGGAGTGTCCTATCAAATTCTGTACCTGTCAACAGTGGTGTCCCCCAAGACAGTGTTCTAGGACCAACTCTCTTCATACTCTACATAAAAGACCTCTGTGATCATATTAAGGGCAACTGCATTCTCTTCGCTGACGATGTAAAGCTATTCAACACCACAGACAATACTGCTACCCTTCAAAAAGACCTCTACTATGTATCAGAATGGTCAAACAAGTGGCAACTTCAAATCTCAACAAATAAATGCTCTGTTTTACATACTGGCAAAAACAATCAGAAAATAAAATACAGGCTGAATAGTCAAGACCTTGTTGATGA